CTTCTTCATCGTCTTCGTCAGTGAAGGAGTTTGTTAAATATTGTGTAGGCGTGGGCTTGGCTCCCAGGAGCTGGCGAATCTTACTCCAGAACCGTTCGGGTCCGTATTTGTATTGGTTAGCCTGGAAAACAAGATACTTCCATAATTCGTTTTTGTGCTGGGTAATTAATTCCCGCCTCATCTCCTGCAGTAAAGCCAGCATGGGCTGTCCCGTCTGGTGGTACCTACTACACTCTGCTTGGTAATTTTTCATGCTATCCTTAATGTACCTAGTTGCTTTGTACTGCTGGTATATTTTTGATGGTACTAGATCGCAGCAAGCACGGGTGGAATCTGAGGTTCTTTCGTGGAAGGAGCTGATTGCCTCGTCTATTCCAGAAGAGGCCTGGTTCTCAAGCAAAACAGTATGGTCATTGTCTAGGTAGTCCCTGAAAGGGGTCAAAGCCTAGTTTTTTAAGGTTGGGTTTTGATGGAGTGGGCATCCGGTATGGAGAAGTCTGGAGCTTTATTATGACAGGAATTTGGTCCGATCCGACATTTCCGCCAGGAAAAACTCTGCAGTGGTACAGGTTGCAGTCTCTGTTAGTATAATACTAATAATATATCTTTTTTACTACAAGTACATGTACAAAGTATACAGGCCCCCAGCTGGCATCAATGATATACTACTATATAGAAAGCCGCTTGTTATGCAGAGCATTTCGGGCAAATTAGGTCAATCTTTTCTCCAGGATGAGACCCACACCAGCCGACTAACAAACACCCAGGTACCAATTTTACTGATGGGTGAACATAGACAACCAATGTAAGGAAACACGTCCAATGTTTCCACCCCTTCGTCGTCGAACCCGGAACCCCGAATGAAGCGAAAGCTTTTGCCACCAGGCCACGGGGTACCCGACTACGTCGGGTGTCGCCGGGTGAAGGCCCACATATGACATGAAGAATGGGCCTTGAAACAGTTACTTTCCCTAGTGACGGCGTCACCGTAGTTGAAGAGAGAGGAATGATGGGCATGAAAATTCCTTGCTAGGACTGTTGGAACATTTCTACAGAGTATCCAGTTTAAAGAAGCGGATGGGCTCTATGTACGGGTGCCTAGGGAAAAAATATCCAGTTCCCACTACTAGCTGCCCATATGGGGTCGTCAGTTTTATTGCTAAGATGCTGTTTTCATTAACATGGATGTTACAGAATGCATATCCTTGTTTCACTAGAACAGCAACCCCCGCTGTGGGGTAATCTAGATTTCTCGAGCGTTGAGTAACCAACCACGCAGCTTACGTTGGTCTGGTCTGACACCTGTTTCTTTCGAAAGGATTTTCTGGTTGTGATTGCAGAGTTCAATTTCTAGGAGGTAGCGATTGATGAAGAAGCGTCCTGTGGAAAATTTAATTTTCCTATAATCAGTAATGTGTATGTGAAGTGTTAATATAATATATGTAACTATGAAGTATTAATGGTAGTCACAAACTACCAAACTACTTAAGGAAGCGAGTGAGTGCTTCCAACTGAGGGAAGGGGGTGTAGATGGCGGCAGTGAGTATGGGTGAGACGGTTGTAGAAGGCTGATTGCTGGTCTCGGCTCTGTTTTGACCCAAGGGAAGAGGTCAAAAAATGGAAAATTGAATGGAATAATGTCCGGGTGGCCGTCCTGAGAGCTAATGTTGGCTTCTCAATGAATCTGGAAATCGGCCGAATCTTCAAATGAAATTCGGAGTAATATAAGCAGTGTTGTCAGAAATTTATAAAGTTTACAGCATATGTAATGTACGCCTCCCAGAGTATTAATTCTCGCTACAGGTATGTTAATTTGTACTGGCCAATATAAATTGTCTACCGGAAGGGAGGCGTTAGGATATGACGCCAAAATCTTAATTTGGCGAGTTATATGTTATCTCCTTTATATTATTTTAATGTTTGTATTTATATCAAATTACTCAAGTAGTCATTACTGAATATCTACATTCCACGCATATGTCAGTGTTACTTGCATAATTTTTTAAATAATTTTTAGAACTATGTTCCAAAATATAATGTAATAATATAATGTTAATGTTAAGAATTAATCGAAGTCTGCTCGAAATGCCTACCCCTCAAGGAAGGTTCCTTGATGTTGGTGAGGGGCTCTTGATTTAGGGAATTGGATCTGTGCTCCAGTTCCCCGAATTAAGCCTGAATGCCTTCCACATCCCCCCTAGGTGCTGTATAATCCTCCGGGTTTAGCGCCTCCCCCTTGATTATTATAATAATCGAAATGCCTAGCCATGCTAGGTATCCTAGTGGCCCCCTCTGTAATTAGTATTTTATAACATGTAAACCACACAATACCCAAAACCTGTAAACCCCACATTGTAACCCTTATAGAGAATAAACTTTAATTGAATTGAATTGAATTTAATTAAGGTCCAGACGTGTGAGGCGTGATGACCTGAGAAGGTGGGCACGAAGGAGGGACATTATTGTGACCTGGTGACCTTAAAGTCCCACTTGACTCTGAGGTGCATCACTATCAGTAAGTGTAAACTGTTTGATGTACCAAAGTTTCTTCACAATTATGGGGGTGAAATAATTTGGGACATTGCTTGTAAAATTTACCCGCACTTTTTCTCACATGTCCGATGTTAAGTTGTAAAATTGTGATCCCCATTATTTCGTATGTTTTACCTTGTTGGTGCGTGCGGGCAGTTCGTGTCTGAGATAACCAAGGTGTGTGTATGTTCTCCCAGTTTGACTCGTCAGAGGAGGGGGGGAGAAGGCTATAGACCCGAGTAGTTTTTTGAGTCCAAGATGCTTGGTCCTCTCCAATGCTGCTGGTGTTGGTGACACGTCAGATGCCTCAATTACATATTTTACACACTAGCCCCTCGATTTTCTTGATGCATTCCCTAACACACTCGCCCTTTCTCCCATCATTCGCTGGCCAGGTGACGGGATGCTGTTTAACTCGTGCCCGAAACATTCGATTAAAAATCACAAGTCCGGACAAACATGATTTCCTTACCCCCCCCCCCCCCTCTAATATGCCGACTGTTGGGAGTCACACAGGGAAAATTGTGGTAGAATTATCCTACCCTTCAGGAATGTCATTCTGTGTAGGTCAGTTGTGCCTGGAGTTTACCTGGAGAGAGTTTCGGGGGTCAACGCCCCCGCGGCCCGGTCTGTGACCAGGCCTCCTGGTGGATCAGCGCCTGATCAACCAGGCTGTTGCTGCTGGCTGCACGCAAACCAACGTACGAGCCACAGCCCGGCTGATCAGGAACTGACTTTAGGTGCTTGTCCAGTGCCAGCTTGAAGACTGCCAGGGGTCTGTTGGTAATCCCCCTTATGTGTGCTGCCGCCTGAGCGGCTAATTTATTGTGCATCCAATGAACGGAAACGGAAAAAAAAATTAGGTCACAATAGGTCATTATCAGATTCCACTGAGCACAGTTACATCACAAAAAATATACTAGTCAATTTATATATATATAGTATTACAATTTCTTCGTATAGATAATGAATATATTACGTAATAATTTAAAAAAACATTGAAGTGCCTTATTACCACTAAAACATGTCATTATTGGGTTGCAGTCCCTTCAAAAACTATTCATTTATTCATCACAAAATGCCGAGTGAAGATTTCAGATACCTTATTAACAGTGAAGTGTTTTGCCACATGTTGTAGGGCTTGCATGGAGATGTATATAAGTTTGATGCTTGATATGGTATTCCAGTGGATGTCTCTGTTTATCTAAATTCTACACACTGCCTAGTCTTACTGTAGCTATAGAATCTTGCAAACTACTACCCTGTTTCTTTCTCCACAAATGTTTAACTTGACATATTTCATTATAAAGGACAGTTAATCTTCATGTTTTTATTTGTATGGTTCCATTTTCTTCACACTAATTTGCTAGTTCTTTACTCTGGCATTTTTTTTTATTTAAGAAATCAAAATTATATATATTCGACATACTTTTTTTTTTCTTATTCGCCGGTATTCTTCCCGGCCCGGTCTTTTCCAAGTAGTGGTGACCCGGCCTTGGCTCCCTATCTGGGGAGTATCTCGAGACCTAAGTCTCCCATACATACTCTTTATTTAATCCCTGCTTAGCTTCTCGAGTTCTATGTGAAAGGGAATCGACAAAAGCTTGAATGTAATCCATTTTTTTAAATTTGTTCATATATATCTGCGTCTTGCTTCATACATAAGCATGCTACACTCAGGTCCCAGATTATTTAGATCAAGTAATGAGGAGAGACGCTTATTGAACTGTGCGACGTCGTAGTTTCCACAAGGTGGAAAACAGAGTACAGCCAAGAAATCCAGTTAGTAAGCTTGAAGCCTAGTTATTAATTCTAATACACCTCTATATATGGAGTATACTTCGAGAGGGTTTCGGGGGTCAACGCCCCTCCGGTCCGGTCTGTGACCAGGCCTCATGGTGGATCACAGCCTGGTTAACCAGGCTGTTACTGTTGGCGGCAAGCATCATAGTACCATCAAGCTGGCTTGCGGTAACAGCACTTCACGCCCTCAGACTGTCAGTGTCACAGGAATCATCAGCGTAGAGAGTCAGTGATAATTTTAGTCTACAGGTCGCGTATGTTTCAGAACTGAAATTAGATAGTACGTAGTCGAAGACGAGAATTGTCCATAATTAATTTCTTAGGCGGTTAGGTAACTATTATCTATAGGGGTGGTAGAAAATGCTGTTTATTTCGTAACATAATACTGTTAATGTAGTCCAAACATTTTAATGTGATTGGCTATTATGTGAATCCATCTTGTCACTAGTCCATTGAATTATATTATGTTCTAGTAATTATCTAGACAATATTGTTACGATAAGTTTCATTACTATCATGACACTAATTTCACTTATTCTATCGCCAAGAACAAGTATATCTAATTCTTTCATCACGTTAAATATTTTGGTGGTTTAAGAAAATATTTCAGTCCTACTAATAAAATCTCAAGTTCTTAATTAAAAAAGTGTATGTACAGTACTGACCATTGACCCTCTTGATGTAGTAGACAGCACATAACAAGCTGACAACATCCAGCAACTGAAAGAGTAAGTAAAATTTATTACAAGAAAAAAACCCGACATATTTCACTTAAATTGATTTTGTACAATTGATTTTGTACCAAAAGAACCTTGGGAAACTTAGCTAACCTTATAACAAGGGCAATTTAATTTAGCCTAATCCAACTAAATATATTTTATATAGGCTTACAATAATTTAATAATGAACACAATGAAATATTTTTTTCGTTAGGTTCAGAATGATTTTTTGCAAAATTATTGCATACACAGTGCGCTACCAATCGAGCTCAGTGTACATCAATAACTTCTCACAAATACGACCACCTAATAGAAAAAGAAATGAATGATTATCTTATTAAAACTGCTAAATTGTTACTACATTTTTTTGGACAGAGCCCTTCAGTATCATCAAGATACCGTCTGGAACGATAACGTTCCAGACCGTGGAGCTCAACTCTTCTCCTGGGACTTATTACATCATCATTATTTCATTTATATTGTTCCCTTTGTATTTGACTGAAGAAACCTACTGTGCAGGCGAAACGTTTCATCAATAAAATACCCAACTGTTGCACATGTCTTAGTCTTCAATTTGTCGTATTCTATACAATTTTCAACAGTTCGTGGCTCGTTTTGTTTTCTTCCATGCCGGGGATCGCTCCCCGGCATGGATGAAACACTAGACATATTTCCTTATACATGCTGCCCCTGTTTATCTAGCAGTAAATAGGTACCTGGGTGTTAGTAAATTGTTGGTGGCATCCTGGGTAAGAATACATGACCCCAGTTAAAATGACTGATTCACTAATGACGCATGAACTTTATTGGGACATCCTGAGTTGCTAACCTTCCGGGTTAAAAAAAAAAATCTAAAGTCCTTCCAGAATGGAACAAAACATCTTCAGTCAATTACGCGAAGCCTACATTCTTATAGCTTAATTCAGGCAGAGTAAAACATTTTGGTCTAGTTTTTTGTAAATTAAACCCTAATATAAAGTATTGAAGAAAATTAATTTATGGAAATTTTATTGAGGCAGGAGAGAGAAAAAAAAAAAAAAAAAAAAAAAAAAGATGGAATCATGGAGCTGAGTATAATATTAATTTTCATTTCTTTTTTTATGATATTCTCGGGGAAATACTGAACTTAAAGGTGGCTTACAGTAGCTACAGAATGGGAGGTAATCAGGTCTGATCCAAGGAAAGAAAAGCTGTAATTCCTCAGATCAAGATCCCTTCACCAACATCAAGACACTTCCCCTTAGTGGGTTTGAACTCTTGAAACAATGGTTAGACCCTTGAAAAGGAAATGGAGCTACGCTTCGTTTCCTTGGATTAAACCTGACTCCCATTTCTCCTACGGGTTTAATGCTTCCAAATATAAATTCTTGAAATACGACTCTAAAATGTAATTAATTTAGCACACTGATAAAGCTACGACTCTAAAATGTAATTAATTTAGCACACTGATAAAGCCATGTTAAACTGTATTAGAAACTTCTACGAAAATAGGCTTGATGTACTGAACTTTACTCTCGAGAAACAGTGGGGCTGTAAACCATACCACGGGCGGGTTAGAACCCGCGATCAGTCATAAAACTCCAGACAGATGCGTTAGCCATTGGGCCAGCTAGCCACAATGATTTATCCGTGGTATGGTTTGCAATCTTGTCATTACGATTTCGTGAGTCGTGTAGTAGTGGGGATATTAAAGTGTAAATGGAAAACAGGAAAAGGAGTATAAATAACGTACGGGAAGTATCTAACGAAGACAGGACTAGCAGTAATGGATAAAAGTTGGAGAAAATTAGATTTAGAAAGGATGTAGGAAAGTACTAGTTTGGCAACAGTTGTAGTTAAGTGGAATAAACTCCCCAAGAAGCGTCATTAGGACGGGAATTTTGGGTAATTTTATAGACTGGACGGATATATGAATGGTGTGGGTTAGACCTGCTTAAGATGGGTCACTAGGTCTACTGCCAGTGTTCCTTTATTCTTGTGTTCTTAAAGTATCCTTAATATTTGGGTCTAGGAGGACTGATTTCTTCGGAGTGTAGGAATTAGGCCTTAAACCTATAAACCAATTTACAATTAATGCTTCTGGCTGTTGATAGTTTCTCTGACGCCTTGCAGCATATAGGCTACAGTGCCAAATTTAAATAGCATCATGAAAAAAATGAAAACTGAATTGGTACTTACAGGATAAATCTTAACAAAGGACAAGGAAATTAGTACTTACCAGGTAAGTCTTAACACTAAGAAAGTAGTAAGCAAACCGGTATCTGGAGCCAGCGCTCTGCACAACCCTTTTCCCAGCCATTCTGCAGGTGAAACCCCAAAAACATAAATAATACCAGTTAAATAATGGTACTAACCAAAACAGTACAAAATAATAATGGTACTAACCTGGTTTTGGACCGGGCCAAGGGGACGTTGACCCTGGGAACACCTCCAGGTATAACCATGACAGTAATGTATAATTTAGCACCGGCATATATAGGCTTTCCTCTGGCTTACGTATATGTACCCAAGATGACTGTTCTATACTGTGGGAGACAACTAGTGTGGCCTACCATAAATACAATGCTAGTGCAGTATTCATCAAACCGACCTGGAGATGCTTTGTATGGTCACTTCCTCCGTGGTCCAGTCTCAGACCTGGGCTAGTCAGTGTTAGAGATATTAGTTTAATATCTGTATAATGTGCCCCATATCCATGCTGTGGCATGGTATGGTGCAGCATGGTATGGTGTAGGATAGTATGGTGTAGCATGGTATGATGTAGCATGGTATGGTGTGGTATGGTTTACCTGGAGAGGGTTTCGGGGGTCAACGCCCTCGCATCTCGGTCTGAGACCAGGCCTCATGGTGGATCAGGGGTCTGATCAACCAGGCTGTTACTGCTGGCCGCACGCAAACTGACGTACGAACCACAGCTTGGTTGGTCAGGTACTAAGTGCCTGTCCAGTGCCTTCTTGAAGACAGCCAGGGGTCTATTGGTAATCCTCCTTATGTATGCTGGGAGGCAGTTGAGCACTCTTGGGCCCCGGTCACTTATTGTGTTCTCTCTCAATGTACTCGTGGTGCCCCTGCTTCATCGGGGGAATGTTACATCTCTTGCAGTCTTTGGCTTTCATAGGGAGTGATTTTCGTGTGCAGGTTTGGTACCACTCCCTCCAGGACTTTACAAGTGTATATTATATCTTTGTAGATGAATGGTTCAGAGAACCGACATGTTGATAAATTAGACACATATGCAACTCTTGGGTATCTTTATTGAGGAAACGTTTCGCCACACAGTGGCTTCATCAGTCCATACGAAGGAGAAACTTGAAGAACAGGAGGAGAATGAGGTAATCAGTCCCTCAACCTTGAGTCGATGTGTTCAGTCCATCAATCTTGATGGACTGAACACATCGACTCAAGGTTGAGGGACTGATTACCTCATTCTCCTCCTGTTCTTCAAGTTTCTCCTTCGTATGGACTGATGAAGCCACTGTGTGGCGAAACGTTTCCTCAATAAAGATACCCAAGAGTTGCATATGTGTCTAATTTATATTATATCTCTCGCCTGCATTCCAGGGAATACAAATCAAGAGCCTTAACCGTTCCCATTAATTTAGGTGCCTTATCGTACTTGTGTGTGCCGTGAAAGTTCTTTGTATGCTTTCCAGGTCTGCAATGTCGCCAGCCTTGAAGGGGGCCGTTAGTGTACAGCTATATTCCAGCCTAGAGAGAACAAGCGATTTGAAGAGGATCATCATAGGCTTGGCGTCCCTAGTTTTGAAGGTTCTCATTATCCATCTTATTTTCCTAGCAGATGAGGTAGATACATTGTTGTGGTCTTTGAAGGCGAGATCCTCTGACATTATCACTCCCAGGTCCTTCACATTTCTTTTTCGCTCTATTGTATGGTTAGAATTTGTCGTATACGCTGATACAGTTTTAATTTTCTGAAGTTTTCCATATCTGAGTAGTTGAAATTTCTTCTCGTTGAACGTCATATTGTTTTGAGTGGCCCATTTGAAGATTTAGTTGATGTCCGCTTGGAGTCTTCGATGGATGTCACGGCCATGGTATGGTGCAGCATGGTATGGTGTAGCATGGTATGGTGCAGCATGGTATGGTGCACATGGTATGGTGCAGCAAGGTATGGTGCAGCATAGTATGGTGCAGCATGGTATGGTGCACCATAGTATGGTGCAGCATGTTATGGTGCAGCATGGTATGGTGCAGCATAGTATGGTGCAGCATGGTATGGTGCAGCATGATATGGTGGTGCTGAGAGGAAAGGTTGATGCAGTAACAACTGAACCTACGATAAAAATTAATATATCACCATGGTTTCTAGTCGCACAATCAAGCCAAAAATATTAAGACTACACAGTAAATACAAATAAAAGTGATAAACTTACTGTTGAGTAATACAAGGAGAGTAACACAGTGTTGAGAGAGCTACAACATACCTCCCTGAAGTACAAGACAACACTGATGATATTCTCAACATACTTCTTATATATTTAAAACTGGCTTTTGTTAATATTCTATGCCTAGTTATCCCTCTTTTATTGAATTTAATTATAGTTATGTGTTGAGGGAATGATGAGTATCTTAGAGTTTGAATTATGTGTTTTTAATAAATTATTTGTGCATGCTAGGATGTCTGGATTATTTTAACCAGGGGAAGCGCTAAACCAGTGGGGGTCAAAACGCCTGGAGACTGGGAGGCCTTCAGGTTTGACTCAAGAAAGGTGAGGATATATCCAGTTCCTTGGATCATGAGCACCTCAACTGTGGAAAATACTGTATATATTTTCCAGAAATACAGTAGTTATATGTAAATAGATGGCCATACTGTATTTAATAAAATTTATGTTATCGAAAACGGGAAGCTGCGCCTGCGCAGGAGGACTCGCCATTGCTGTTTGAACTGGTCAACTGTTAGTGAATATTGGGAAGAATTTTTCGTGCTCTAGAGGTTAAAATTGGGCTGACACCTCTCAAATAGGAGGTGAAATTGTTGGATGTGCATTCTGCATAATTTGAGATATCAGACGACTGGAAAAGACAGCTCCAGGAACCTCAGATAAGCTCTCTAGATTTGTGTGTAATTCTGGCCAGCATTATTTTCATAGATTTAGTTGTGAGGTTTTCTGAGTATGATACACATTAATCTTCAGTCAAATTGGTGAGTGATATTAAGATATATTTTCCTTCTGTTATGTAATTGTGTATATATTTAACCATTTATTATTTTTAACATAGTCCACAAATTTATATATTTACCAGAATTCCTGGTGATGTATCTTTTATTGTTAATAGGTCCAGAGCAACTTGTGGATATGACAGTGGTAGGTATCGAAGGGGGACATTTTTTGCGACCTAGGTGTCCCAAATTCCTACTTGTCTAACAGATAAATAATAATTATCTATGTTCATTTACTGTTATGTATATAATGATACATTCAGATAAATGCAATTTTCCACATCAACGGCATCAAGACCCAGTTAAAGATAATCTGAATTAAGATATCAGGACACTCGTATTACTGACAGTTATCCTAATGGCTTCTTCAATATTTTTTTCTCCAACTTCTCTATGATATTTTACTCATAACTAGCGCTAAACCCGTAGGAATTATGCAGCACCTGTAGGGAGGGTGCAAGGTATTCACTCAATGCAAGGAACTGGGGCACAGATCCAATTCCCTAGATCAAGAGCCCGTCACCAGAGTCAAGGAACCTCCCTCGAGGGTATGGACTGATTACATCGTCTTCACATCTCTACTACTACTGCTAACTCTTCTGTACTTCGACGGGCTGTGATGTATGTGGTGGCAGATTTTCTGTATGTTTCATGCGGTATGAGGGAGGTGGGGAGTGGATGTAGGGTGCGGGCGCTGGCGGCGTGTGTACCGCACAGTGTGCGATTCTGGGTTTCACACGACTCTGGAGAGAGCTCCGGGGGTCAACGCCCCCGCGGCCCGGTCTGTGACCAGGCCTCCTGGTGGATCAGAGCCTGATCAACCAGGCTGTTACTGTTGGCTGCACACAAACCAACGTACGAGCCACAGCCCGGCTGGTCAGGAACTGACTTTAGGTGCTTGTCCAGTGCAGGAATAGACTTTTATATGGGAGGGTGTGGGAAAATAGTTTTCCCTTGGGTTATCGCAATCTGACGGTAGGTGTGTTGGTAGGATTGGGAGCAGGGTAGCACTGGGATGGGTTGAGTTCCCGGGGACTGTCTTTTTTGTTTGATTTTGGAGTTGAGGTTTGAATGTGGTAAAGACAGTGAGTGGTATAGCGGCGTATGTGGGTGTGCAAACGTTAAGCATGAGGGGGGGTAGGTGGGGGGGGGTGGAGAGAGGACATGCGGATATCAGGGACTGGGTTTTTTTTTGACTTAAGACGGAAGGTGTAGGTTGTAGAGAGTGGAGACGGAAGGTGTAGGTTGTGAGAGTGGACTTGAGTATAATATAGTTGGTATGGGGTCAGGGGCTGGGGGGGGGGGAGCTTTCTGACGTGTTCAGGGGCCAGGATGGTGTTTGAATGCTTGTAGCATTACGGCTCTGCATATGTATTATGGGCCTTATGTTTACCTGGAGAGAGTTCCGGGGGTCAACGCCCCCGCGGCCCGGTCTGTGACCAGGCCTCCTGGTGGATCAGAGCCTGATCAACCAGGCTGTTGCTGCTGGCTGCACGCAAACCAACGTACGAGCCACAGCCCGGCTGGTCAGGAGCCGACTTTAGGTGCTTGTCCAGTGCCAGCTTGAAGACTGCCAGGGGTCTGTTGGTAATCCCCCTTATGTATGCTGGGAGGCAGTTGAACAGTCTCGGGCCCCTGACACTTATTGTATGGTCTCTTAACGTGCTAGTGACCCCTGCTTTTCATTGGGGGGATGGCATCTTCTGCCAAGTCTTTTGCTTTCATAGTGAGTGATTTTCGTGTGCAAGTTCGGTAACTAGTCCCTCTAGGATTTTCCAGGTGTAATATAATCGATGTATCTCTCCCGCCTGCGTTCCAGGGAATACAGGTTTAGGAACCTCAAGCGCTCCCGGTAATTGAGGTGTTTTATCTCCGTTATGCGCGCCGTGAAGGCTTCTCTGTACATTTTCTAGGTCAGCAATTTCACCTGCCTTGAAAAATGCTGTTAGTATGCAGCAATATTCCAGCCTAGATAGAACAAGTGACCTAAGAGTGTCATCATGGGCTTGGCCTCCTAGTTTTGAAGTTTCTCATTATCCATCCTGTCATTTTTCTAGCAGATGCGATTGATACAATATTATGGTCCTTGAAGGTGAGATCCTCGACATGATCTACTCTCAGGCTTTGACGGTGTTTCGCTCTATTTTGTGGCCAGAATTTGTTTTGTACTCTGAATGAAGATTTAATTTCCTCATGTTACCATATCTGAGTAATTGAAATTTCTCATCGTTGAACTTCATATTGTTTTCTGCAGCCCACTGAAAGATTTGGTTGATGTCCGCCTGGAGCCTTGCAGTGTCTGCAATGAAGACACTGTCATGCAGATTCGGGTGTCATCTGCAAAGGAAGACACGGTGCTGTGGCTGACAATCCTTGTCTATGTCGGATATGAGGATGAGGAACAAGATGGGAGCGGAGTACTGTGCCTTGTGGAACAGAGCTTTTCACCGTAGCTGCCTCGGACTTTACTCTGTTGACGACTACTCTCTGTGTCTGTTAGTGAGGAAATTATAGATCCATCGACCGACTTTTCCTGTTATTCCTTTAGCACGCATTTTGTGCGCTATTACGCCATGGTCACACTTGTCGAAGGCTTTTGCAAAGTCTGTATATATTACATCTGCATTCTTTTTGTCTTCTAGTGCATTTAGGACCTTGTCGTAGTGATCCAATAGTTGAGACAGACAGGAGCGACATGCTCTAAACCCATGTTGCCCTGGGTTGTGTAACTGATGGGTTTCTAGATGGGTGGTGATCTTGCTTCTTAGGACCCTTTCAAAGATTTTTATGATATGGGATGTTAGTGCTATCGGTCTGTAGTTCTTTGCTGTTGCTTTACTGCCCCCTTTGTGGAGTGGGGCTATGTCTGTTGTTTTTAGTAACTGTGGGACGACCCCCGTGTCCATGTTCCCTCTCCATAGGATGGAAAAGGCTCGTGATAGGGGCTTCTTGCAGTACGGTACGGTATCAGTTTGTTTTATTATTTTATTATTTGTTTCCCTATGAGGTTGATACTCCAGGGGGTAATTATACTTAGCAATTCTTGGTATACAATATTTTTTTATTACTGAAACATTATATGTCTTTTATATACATGAATTTGGAAAGTTGCCTATGTAAGTTCAAATTTTTTCTTGTTTTTATGTAAACGATGGTACATACTGATGTGTGTTCTCATGTGCAAGTGCTGTAAGACGTGTGCAACTAGTAGACTGTAGCTTTGGTTTATGTTTTAGGACCTTGGGTGTAATTTGAGTTTTATGTGTTAAGTCCTTTTATGTTGTAAGTTAATGGTATATTTTTACTGTGTTGTATATATGTGCTTTTAGGTTAATGCATAAGTTGTGTACACTTTTTGTAGTCATCCTTTTAACTCAGATAAGGGGGGGGGTTGCCTGGGGACAGGGGGGGGTTGCCTGGGGACAGGGGGGGTTGCCTGGGACAGGGGGGGTTGCCTGGGACAGGGGCGGTTGCCTGGGGACAGGGGGGGTTGCCTGGGGACAGGGGGGGTTGCCTGGGGACAGGGGGGGGTTAGTTTATGGGGTGTTACGGATAATACCATGCTATGCTACTTTCTATTTGGGTTGAATTGGGTATTGGTATTGGAAACAGGAGATACCTTTTGGTAAAAATTTTGAAGGTGGACTGACCTAGTAAAATAACTATTATTAACAAGGTCTTGAGGATATCTCTCCAAGAGAGAACCCGCAGTAATGGATTTAAATTAGATAAGTTTAGATTTAGAAAGGACAGAGGAAAGTATTGGTTTGGAAATAGGGTAGTAGATGAGTGGAACAGTCTACCTAGTTGGGTTATTGAGGCTAGGACTTTAGGTAGTTTCAAATTTAGGTTGGATAAATACATGAGTGGGAGGGGTTGGATTTGAGTGGGACTTGCATCAGAGCTTATTTCTTGGGTAGCATTGAAAATTGGGTTGGTCAAATTTTTGTTAAAGCTCCTAGAATTACTACATTATCGTGCCTTGTGGCCCTAACAATTTCCTCCCATAGTAGTCTCCCCTGGTCCCTATCTAAATTTGGGGGACGGTATATCACACCTAAAATTAATTTTTCATGCCCCTCTGAAAATTCTATCCAAACAGACTCTGTATGTGTTACTTCAGACTTAATACCCGTTTTTATGCAACAGTTCAAGCGATCTCGGACATACAATGCCACCCCACCCCCCTTCCCGATACTTCTATCTACTTGGAACAATTTAAAACCCTGAATGTTACATTCTGCAGGCATGTCCCGACTTTTTGAAT